AACAGGATAATTGGCGAAACGTCAGCAAGTTCGGTTCGTCAATGAAAATAGCCTCTTTTTAAACTTTTATGATAACAAATTTTTCTCTTTGGGATACTTTAGTGTGGGAATATGATATTGAGCTACGATTTGGACTTGCCTATTAATTCAATTTAATTAATGAAAAGTTATATTATTGCATTTGATTTTTTAGAGAATTTTTCAAGGAATTATAGCTATTTACTTAAAAAGATCATTTCGCGGAACAAAAGTCACTCGAATCAAGGTTAGCGTTCAAAAGCATATACTTTTTTGGCACGTTTACTGGATTTTAGACAAAAAAAATTAAGATGGTTGTCACGTCTCTCGGCGACTGTTTCGGAGACCCGAAAATATGTTTGACAGTTGACCACTTCAGTCATAACACGACCACCCGGTAGATGCCAGCGTCAACATCACCGCGTACCACGTAATCAGAGAGAACGACACGCAAATGAAAGAAAAAGAACTTTCAAATATTGCTCACCGACAGGGGACGAACAAGAAAGAAAAAACACCCCCCCCCCCCCTTCCCGCCGAAAAAGAGACAATAACGTCGCTCGGGGGGTAAGTTTTGGCGCTCGCCTCAGAATCGCCGCCGGGGATAGCAAAGCTTTTGATTTAATATAATAAATAAGATCTTCTCTCGACCAGCGGAACGCATACAGTCTGAGGTAAAAGTTGGAAAGCGCACTTTCGTGGCGCCCGAGGCCATTGTTACGCTATTATCCACCGTCCACCGCGTCCCAGTTCATTCGTTTCTTTTTGAATTACCACCATTGACCAAAATATGTAATTTACATTTATATGGTTTATGGGCAAAGTGTGGAAGTTCGGTCCTCTCGTTGTCCGAGAGAATACGAATTGAATAGAAACGCCGGGTGGGAGGGGGGGGGGGGTAGCGGGGTTACGTTTGTTTTTCTTTGTTGTTGTCGCCATATTGGACGGAATTCAAAAGGTCAAAGTCTCTCGTAACATTTTCAAACCCTATTAGGTATTTATTTTGTTATCGACGAAACGGCCCTTGGAGAATCGAAATAGGGATCTAGTTTAATCGCTCAGGGCGTGTTAATCTTAAAATATTATGCAACAAATCCGAAAAACTCCACTTTAGTCACTAGTTTTGACTGAGACGTACTCAAGAGCTATCAGGACTGAGGCAGTCCTCCTCCTTCGTCAACACCGAAAGTTTGCTGGTAAAAGTCCTAATGGAACTCTGCTATCTAAGAAAGCACGTCGATATTAGCGTTGTGGGTGACGACAACACATGTAGACTGCGTTCAGAAGATTAGAAAACACTGGGCAGCAGAGGATTAAAAGTACTAGCAGCTTGAGCTTGACGCACTACCCAAACTCCCCATTCGAAAGTGTAGGGGCCTTCTGATGGAAGGAGTGAAGATGTGGCGATTAGCATGGGGACGAGAAAATAGAATATAAATGATATACTCCGAGGAAAAAAAACTTGAAATGCTTACATAAAAAATAGAATGAAGGTTCAACCATTCAACACTTGTCTCAAAATCGACATTTACCACGCCCACAACGTTTCCTATCCTAATTCTCATTTCTTCCTTGGTGGTAGACGGTTAGACGTATTCTTGAGGAGTTCTTGTAGGACTTTAATAATTTAATATTTTGCCTACAAACAAAATTATTCAATATTCAAAACGGTCACAAATAAGGAACACCGCGTCGCGCCGCCTCGTATACAAATATCAAGGGGGATCGTTTCCCCGCACTAGCAATATTTTTAGATATGGGCCTGCTGGTATCTCATATAACAACCGGTGACCTCCACCCCAAATCCCTCCCCCACACGTGAAGCTGAAGGCAGTCAGTGACCGTCTACATAAACCTTTTGTCCGAGTGCAGCACCATCACCCCCTTTATCCCGCATAAAGATGCGAGCACACGAACCTCGTAGAGGACATTACGTCGCCCAGGATTCCGGACGGTATTTTACGAGAATAAAGGAATATTATTCTCCACGTGGAATATTGCATATTAACATGGCGCGCGGGGACGATATGGAATCCTTTATTAAAAACCGACCACACACGCGCGTATAAAAAATTTCGACGATTTTTGAGAATAAAATACGACGGGAGTGGTGGTGGGGGGGAGTGAATCAGTGGAAAAGCATAAACGCGCAACATAAACATGATATACGGTTATATGCGTGTCACGGGGAATATCGGGACCCTCCTATACGTCTATCTAGCACCCCTTCTTAACCCCGAAACGCCGCCGTAAAAGTATATCGGTGACAATTATTATACAAGATGTCGTCGAATTAAGGAAATCGCTTTCTTCGGCACTTTCTGCTGTGCAAATGCGTGTGGTTCCAGTATAGATCATAAATAAGTTTGTTCACGACAATATTCCCCGCAAGAATTTGAAAAAATCGAGAAATCCTTAAGCAGCTCACTTAAGCTTTAAAATTCTTTGTTTTTTGGTTTTCTCATTAATAGTCATTGATGTTGACAGTTACAGTATTACTTTTTATAAGTCTTCTGGATTCCTCCTGCGCCGGTTTTTGTTGAGCTAACGTTTCGCCAATCATCTTGTTGGCTTCTTCAGAGCTTGACTGAAACTGGCTCGCATTTTACTCAGTACCTTCTTTTATATTGTTTGAGAGGGGCGAAGCTAAATGAGGGACATAAACACCGTCTCGGATGACTGATTCCCATGTTGGTGACAGGAAGACTCTCGAATTTTTGGTTGGTAGAAGAATTGATTATATGCAAGAAATTTTATGTCCGGTTTCGTGATTGCGTTGGGCAACTGCAGTTGATAGTTGATATTTTTGATATTATTCGTCCTGTCTCTCCAATGTATTTTTTGCCGCATATGCATGGAATGCTGTAAACTCCTAGCGTCTCAAATGGAATGTTGTCTTAGACGGATCGAAGATTTATAGAGAAAGGACAACAGTGCCAAGTGTGGGACTGCTTTCGGTTTCATTGCTATTGGAAGGTTGTAGTGAAGTGTATTTTGTGATGGAAATGTAATGTGAAAATTATTAGAAAGAAGAGCAGAGGTAATGTGTTTTAATTCTGGTTTAAATGACTCGGGCTGAGTTAGTTTTACTGCTCCATAAACAAGAGAGTTGATAACCGATGATTTTTGGGCCCGATGGTGATGTGACATTGCATTAAGGTATCGGTCTGTGTGCGTAGGTTTTCTGTAAACACCAAGACCCAATGTTAGGTCTGATTTCCTATTGATTCTCCATATTTTCCATTAAAATAAATTGATTTTTCAGATGTCACATGAACAATCACGAATTATTTGATTTTTCCCAATTGGAGTGTTTTATGGATTACATTAAAAGTAATGGGTTTTTCGGATTTCATATGAACGCTCACTGATTTTTTGCTTTTATGTTAAAATTTACAGATTTTTCGGTTTTCCCAGAATTTCGCATTGCAATTAAGATTTTTCTCAACTAGAGTTTTTTTAAGTTTACAGTGAAAGTAATATATTTTTCGGTTTTTACACCTAGAAATTTCTGTAGCTTTCAAATTGATCGGGGATTTTTCGTTCCCACTTAAAATTTGTCGATTTTTAGATTTTTACAATTTGCAATTTCTATAGTTTGCATATTAATTGTCAGGGATTTTCCGATTTTCACATTACTAGCCGCTGATTTTTGCATTCAAATTCTAATATTTATTGGCTTTTTACACGTAAATTCTGCTTTTAAATTAAAAGTGAAGCTTCATCGGTCAATTTCACATTAATAATAATTGATTTTTCCGATTGTACATTAAGTCTGAAATATTTTTCATATGTCACATTAATAATCACTGATGTTTTGGTTATCAGAATAAAACTCATAATATTCCGAATTCGGATTTCATTAAACAGTCAGGGATTTCTCGCTTTCATATTAAAATTTTTCGATTTTTCGCTTTTTACAATGTCGTTTTCATGTTACTAGTCCGGGATTTTTCTGTTTTCACATTAAAATTTTAGGATTTTTTCGGTTTTCACGTTAATAGTAGGGGATTTTTCGTTTTTCACATTAAAAGTTAAGGATTGTGCGATTGTTACATTCGAACTCAAATGGATAGTGTTGGAGTTTTTCATGTTTTGCAGTAAAAATAATGGATTTTTCGGATTTTATATAAGTATTCAGGGATTTCTAGTTTTCACATTCGATTTTTCGGTTTTTACAATGTCGTTTTCATGTTACTAGCCCGGGAATTTTCGGTTTTCACATTAAAACTTTAGGATTTTTTCGGTTTTCACGTTAATAGTAGGGGATTTTTCGTTTTTCACATTAAAAGTTAAAGATTGTGCGATTTTTACATTCGAACTCAAATGGATAGTGTTGGAGTTTTTCATGTTTTGCAGTAAAAATAATGGCTTTTTCGGATTTTATATAAGTATTCAGGGATTTCTAGTTTTCACATTCGATTTTTCGGTTTTTACAATGTCGTTTTCATGTTAGTAGCCAGGGATTTTTCGGTTTTCACATTAAAACTTTAGGATTTTTTCGGTTTTCACGTTAATAGTAGGGGATTTTTCGTTTTTCACATTAAAAGTTAAGGATTGTGCGATTTTTACATTCGAACTCAACGGAGTTTTTCATGTTTTGCAGTAAAAATAATGGATTTTTCCGATTTTATATAAGTATTCAGGGATTTCTACTTTTCACATTAAAATTAGTGGATTTTTCGGTTTTTACAATGTGAAGCTTCTGTAGTTTTTATATTAATGAATTCATTTTTTTCATATAATTTTAATACGAATTTTTCTATATTTAGATTAAAATTTGGGGATTTTTTCGATATTCAGATTCTCAGAAATTATCTATTTTAATATTAAAACTTAGAACTTCGTCGGTTTTGACATTACTAGCAAGGGATTTTGCGGTTTTCAACTTTATTTATCTAATAAGTTCATTCCCTGCAATGTCACTGAAAATCTATTTAACAATCGCAGCACAAACCCTATAGCGTTTTGCCTTGTTGCAGCTGAACTAAATTTCTTGGAGCCTCGAGCGTCAACAGTCAATAATATGATCTCTACACCAGTACCAGTGCCTGCGATCAGTCCAGACGACAACCACAACGAAATACCCTCAAAACACAACGAAACCAGTGAGATGACCGAAATGTCACTAAGCAGTCCACCACGCATCAAAATCGAACCCTTTGAAAACGATGAAAATACTGACCAGGTGAAAGAAGAATATTCTGAAGGTAAGTGACAGTTGAAAACACCGAGTTGTACAGTCTATTTTTCAAAGAATTCTGATTTTTTCAAATAAATTTTAGGGTGATTACTTGATGGAGGGCTAGGGGATGCCACGTTAGACAATTTCGGTGAGATAATCTTTGATACGTTAGTAGCTGTTCAGTTAGGTGAAGGGTATTCTGGTGAAGGGAATGTCTATATAATTAAACATTTGGGTTGTAAAGTATATAAAGGTAGCAATTAGAGTAACTAGTAATCGATACGGCAACATTAAAACGTAATAGTAGTTCTTGTTGGTTTCCCTGCCTTGTCAAATGTTATCAGTTTGTCTTCGAACAAATTATGGTTTCCATTTCATATTACCTTCTCTTGACAGTCTGAACCTCTTGTACTTTTTTTCGCTAGTGTAACTATATATCGTGACTGTCTTCAGTTTCCTCTCAACAGCAAGAGATGATCTTGGCCCTGAACTAAAGGGTGATTCAATAAGAGTTTCCACATTAAAATAATAAAAAACAACTCGGAAGAATATAAAAATATACAAACATTTTTATTTGCCATTTTAGATTGGTGTATTACAATTAGCTATGAAAGATGATGTCATTCATTCATTTTCATTCATTTATTGAAATTTCCTATCACTTTTTGACACAATTCAGGTTCTATGCCGGCTATTTCTCGTCTAATCTCCTGTTTCAGCTGTGGAATAGTGTTTGGTTGATTTCTATACACTCTGCTTTTTAGATACCCCCAAAACAAATTCTAGGGGAGTAAGATCGCATGATCGCGGCGGCCAATTGATATCGCCGTTACGTGGGATCAGGAAACTTGCCCCGCAGCAATTGCATCGTTTCTCTGGATGTGTGACAAGTGGCTCCATCCTGTTGGAACCACAAATATTCAACGTCCATACCTTCGAACACCTCCCACAAAAAATCAGATATCATGTTTCGATAGCGAACACCATTAACCGTAACATCGTTCTCCGCATTATCCTCGAAAAAAAAAGGGCCAATTATTCCTCCACACCAAAATGCGCACCAAACAGTCACTTTTTGAGTTTGCATTGCTTTTTGAACAATCTCTTTTGGATTTTCTAATCCCCAAATACGAGCATTGTGTTTGTTTACAAAGCCAACAACGTGAAAATGTGCCTCATCGTTAAAGATGATTTTCGTTGAAAAATGAACCCATTGTTCTCGTATCCATTCTGCAAACACTCGGCGCTGTTGATGATCTCGAGGTTTCAACTCCTGAGTTATTTGGACTTGATATGGGTGTAGATGCAAGTCCTTTGTTAAAATTCGCTGTGTTGTTGAATTCGGCTACACTTTCGCGAACAATGGCAATATTTTGATCTGACCGACCCGCACGAGCACGTTGAGGGACTTTGAGGTTAGTTACAGATCTAGTTTGCTCAAATTTTTGAACATTCGAAATTGTCCTCTCAGAAGGTCGATTTTGCGTGCCGAAAAATTGCTCCATGACTAATTTTGTTTATGTTTTGAGGTCCGAAATATCATATGATAATAAACAAATACAGTGGCGTGTCAAAAATATTTCAGATTGTAATGTGTAAATTTTTATTGAATCACCCGTTACTTTATGAATAAATTACATTTGCTTAAAATTAATTAAAAAAAAAATGTGGTCATGGATCTCCAAGATCGAGGATTCTTAAGTATCCTTTGAACAATAGCGTTGTACTGAAGTATTCATCTCCATCACAGTCGGTTTATTCATGAACTGAAGACAAACTTCAATTCAGTAGCTTCTGTTAAAATCGGATTCAGATGTGGTGTGTCCTCCAGGGCGTGAAGTTCTTAAGTACCCCTTAAAAAGAGGCGAAGTATTCATCTATATCTCAGTGGGATGAACTAAACACAAACGTCAACTCAACAGCATCTTATAGATTAAGTTATGGTGTGTCCTCCAGAGGCGGCTTATGATTTATTTGGTTAGTGAAGATAAACTTCAGTTCAACAGCATCTGTTAAGTTCGCATTCAGATGTGGTGTGTCCTCCAGGGCGTGAAGTTCTTAAGTACTCTTTAAAAAGTGACGAGGTACTGAAGTTTTCATCTATATCTCAGTGGGATGAACTAAACACAAACTTCAACTCAACAGCATCTTGTAGATTAAGTTATGGTGTGTCCCCCAGAGGCGGTTTGTGATTTAGTTGGTTTGAAAAGACTTAAATCTAATTAGTGATACTCGGAGGTGTCGAGTTCCATTTTCCCCCACCCCACGGCACACGTCGATCGCCATTCTAATATAATAAATTCCAATATAATTGGCTGTTAATCCGTGTCTCGGGAGGACAATACAACCTTCGTCCTCGAACCAATTAACTCCTCCTTGTGGCAGGACACCGTAGCGACCGTTTAGTTAGTTACTCGACGCTTCTCGGTCGGTAATCAGATTTCGCGAAAGACGAGGTAACGGCCGCCCCTCATCCGGCGATTTTAATTGGCCGCCGCCGCCAAGAGTGTCCGTTGTCGCTTGGACAATGGCCTCCTTCGTTCCCTCGGCGGCCACTTTACGTCGCCATCAATTATGTATACTCGCGTGCATATAACGCGAATCAGTCCTAATTAGGTAGCGAACGATTCGCCGCCATGGCGAACCAAGTAGATAGTCTCGAATGGCGCCGGCTAGTAGAAGGTAAAGATAGAAAGAGGTGGAGAACGTTTGAGTATTGGCTATCCGTTTTGGCATTTGGACGGAGAAGAATACCGGAGTATATACCGGCAGAATTGCAGTTCTACACTGATAGAAAGTTTCTGAGTTAGACAATAACACCTTATATAACATTCTTCGATGAACAGTCTCTATTTGTTCAAAAATTATTTACACCAATAAAATTGCGTGATCCGAGAGAGTGGATGGTGATTCGCTAGATGCAGGGGCTCGTCTAACGTGCTCAGCACTTTACGACGAGGTCATTCCAGCTGTTAAGAGCAAGTAAGATTATTCTTAATTTTCTTGTGTTTACGTGAAGGATTGAAGATATTCCTGCTAATCATGGCGGAATTACCACCTGGCGCTTCCTAAAACCAAGTTTAAAATCATCATCTCTCTTAGGAGTGTCCAATAATTATTGTGTAGAAATTTTTAGGTGTAACAGTAGCTCTAGAAAGGTATAAGGATTGTAGGATCAATATCCCTGTCCCTGCTCTATCTAAATACTCGGATAAATGTATAAATTTCATTCACAGAATGTTTAGATGCTTTTAATGGAGAAATTTAATCTTGTACTGAGGTGGCTTTTACTTGACGAAAATCCATTTAACGCAAGTATAATAGAACAAAAAAAAAGATTTTCACATTTTTAAATGATTTAAAAATTTATAAAGTGTTGACCTGAAGACCATATCAGTCGAATGGTTGTAGAAGTGAACAATAAAGAGAATGGAAGTCTAGAAGAATTTCGTCAACAATATCGTCAGTTACACCAAGAGAGTAAGTGGCGAATACCTCAGCAAAGACGTCGTTTGAGTGCGAAAAACGCATCGAGCGTTTATCATACTCATAGTTGGCACTTAGTGGACGATATTCATCCGGGACGAACTTGATTTAAATGAGTCGAAGCCGCCAGGGCACCGTAAAGTTTCTTACCTCTGCGAGAGACGATCCCGGCGGGAACTCCACTACATATAAATTTTCCCGGCAATAGCTCCCGAAATTTATAATGCCAATTTGCGGACACTGTAACTCCCGGACGCGTCGCGTACATATATATAAGAAGTAGCAAGTTTGCGGCAAGTTTTGGGAAGCAGCAGTAATAAGGCTGCAGGAGAAATTCTTGGGTCCGCAAAGTCCGTCCTGAGAGAGAGAAAGGATGGGGGGGGCGGCCTCTGCGGTCTCCGCAACATCTATTCCGGGTTCCGCGGAGCGGCCTACCCCCTCCCCCGCTCGGAAACTTACATTCTGTTACGTGAAGTTTAGCGCACATGATCTATGTTGCTATTAAATTCAAACATCTTCGGATTGTTGGGAATTGCAATGTATTATCCTGGCCCCGGGACATTTTCAACTCCAGGAAGACCATGATATGAGAATTAATGAACTCCGAACTACTTTGCGCCTTGTTCCTGCGGGAACGCGTTTGGGGAAACTTTGCGAGATAAATATGTGCGCCCTTTCCTGCTGCGGTCCGCAGGGTCGCGCCGTTCGAGTATGTTAAACTTAACGGTTCCACCTCTAAGAAAGGAGTCCCTCAGGGGTACGATCTGAATCCTTTACAGTTTAGTTCGAAGGGTTTGTCGATAAATGTTTCAGTCGGTGTGCTAGTGGAGTTAGATGGTCGGGAATTAAGGACATAGAACTGTATGCGAAGTGTGTTCAAAAAGTAAGGCGACTTTAGAATTTTACCAAAAAGTATGTATTGATTCATCAAAATTCCAATCGTTGAAGCACTTCTGGTATGCAGTTTCTGATATAATCTTGAGTTCTTCCTGCCATTCCAAACCTCCTTCCTTTCGTGTGTTTCTTGAGTTTTGGGAACAGAAACAAGTCGCAGGGGGCCATCTCCGGGAATATGGTGGCTGAGTATTATTCTTTTGGCCACAAAGTTAGACACAAGTAAGGATGAGGGAGCAGAAACATTATCATGATGCAAAATCCATAATTTTTTTCCTACGTTAACGTAACTTCAAAGTAATACTCTTTATTTACCGTACGACCTTGTGATAAAACACTTGATGCATCAATAATCAAAGAAAACAGTAAGCAAAACTTTCACATTTGATCGAACTCGACGTGCTTTTTTCGACTTTTGCCATTCTGGGTTCTTCCATTGCCACGACAGGGTTTTGGTTTCGACGTCATAGTCATATACCCATATTTCGCTACATTTTTGAGCATATCAGGATCATCATTGACGTCGTTTAACGGCTCTTGAGCGCTGCTCTTTCGACAGTCTTGTTGTTCAAAAGTAAGCAGTGTCGGAGCCATAGAGATACCCACGTATTCAGCCACTTCTCTAACAGTGATTCGACGATTTTT